ATATAAGATATAATACTAGATTGTTAGCATATTGGAACATTAGAGACTGAGTAAGCAGAAAAGTATAAATAGATACTATATGTGGGATCTATTGAAAATAATTCAATCGGTAAATTGTATCAAAAAAGTATCTATAATGTTAACTGCCATGCACTCAATTGCTAGCATATTGGGACATAAGTAACTGAATAAGCAGAAGAGTATAAATAGATACTATATATTGGATATAAAATAATCCAAAAAATAAAGTGTATTAAGAGTAGTATCTATCATAATAACTGCCACGTATAAACTAAGTCCAAAATTATTGAATAGACAGAATATATCCACAAATGGATCTGTTATATAATATGCCACATATTAGGAGGTATAAAGCATAAGAGAAAGATAAAGTGAATAGTGAAAAAACAGTGTGCTAAATGTGCAGAGCCATGCTTGGAATGCTGGCTGCCTGCACATGGTGACAGAGTGCCCTATAAGTGAAAAAGATGAGGGGAAAGAAGACCCCCCCCCCCCTCCAAAATAACCCTGTGACGAAACACCTTTTGTCACCGGATTTTCTCCTGGCTGTTGGAGGAACCTGATTGCCAGCCTCTTGCCTCATGACTATGGCCCTGGGTTATTTGGCCCTTCAAGTACAATATTTGGGCATATTGGATTTGTATGGTGCTGCTGCTGGCCCTTTAAAAACCATCCCTGGACATATTATGACTTTTAGGAACAATGTCCCTTTAAGACTGTGTAGCAGATTGCATTCAGGCAGTCTGCAATATTATATATGCTATTATGTGTTCGGTAAATTGTAAATGTGTAGGTTCTATGTGATAAATGTAACAATATGTATTTTTATGTCTTTTGTTGTCCTTTGTCTGCCATGTGGCTAATGGAGTTTTGCCTCTGTCCTTGGAGATAATTGCATTACTTCTCAATTATCTCCAGGATAGAAGACTCTGAAACCAGTTTGGGCCAGATAGCCATGCTGCCAGCCAGGCCCTAAAAGATACTTGTGCTAACTTCTGAACCCCTGGTCTGATTCATGCCATTTTTTAATATGTTGTTCCCCTGAATGGATTGATTGTGAATATGTAATTTTATGTGAATGTGATGTATGGTTTTAGAGTTATGAAAGTTGGGTAAAAAGTATGTTTTAACTGTATGTGTAATTGAGTTTCCTCTCAGGATAAGGGGAGGGAATATGTGGGATATAACTGTGATGTGATTGGTTGTTTTATACCTCCCTGTGGGCGGTCCTGTATGTGAAAGGCTGTAATAAAAACCAGGCTGGGTGTGCCAGCACCAGAGTTCCTGTTTTAACCCTCAAAGTGAAGTGTTGTTTCATTATTGGGGGAAGGATTCATTGTATGCTGTTCCAGTTTGACTGCTAGGAGAGTAAACCTATTCGTATGGTTCCTATTCAACTGTCTACAGCATTCATATGCTTGAGAGAAGGTATACACTTCTCCGGTTCTGTGATTGTGGTGTCTGCCAGAGTGCTTGGAGTCCTCAGGAAACGCTAGGAGCATCCTTTAACGGAGGTACCCAGTCGGGGTGCCAGGCGATCCGTTACAAACCCGATGTGCGTTTCGGTGCTCTTGTGATGAACCTTCGTCATTTAGCCCCTGACGAAGGTGCATCACAAGAGCACCGAAGAGGATCGCGGCGGAGGTAAGTTAACCGGACCTCCCCTGGGCTTAAGGCGTTACGGCGTTAAGGGGTTAAAAAAAAATTCTGCATGAGATGACAATCAACTTTCAGCATTGTGGTATAATGAAAAACTGCACTTTTTGAAAGTAAAATAAGATAGATTAGGATAACAGGTAGCTTCACTTTTGTAGGGTATAAAAAGAATAACCAAAAACTTAGAGAACTTAGACCTAGACAGGAACTAATTGTCATGTAGAAGAAATAGTGAGAGAGACAGACAAATGCTATAGCGTAGAGCTCTAGATACAGTCAAGGTATGAGCAAAAACCACTGGGATGTATGAATGAAAAATTTACACAATTAGTATGCAGGAACATAGAATAACAGAGATATTAGGGTCAAGTTGCAAATTATTGGCATGAATGAGGCAGCTATGCTGCAGGTGAGATGTGTGGGTCAGTCAGCCAGTTCCTGTGGGGGTAAAGTCCCAGCCGCCACCATCGACAGGCACTCCTCTGAGGGCCCAAGTAAACCAGCAACATAAGAGTCTCTTCATGATGGCAACATCTCTATTCTCATCCAAGATTTGTGTCTGCCAGCAATAAATCCCGCTTGGGTGATAAGCTTCTGAGGCAGATATACTGTGGTAGGAGGGTGTATGCTTCTTTGCTCGATATTTGGGTAGGTTGCAGTGAGTGTAGCGGGCACAGCGATGAGTTACCGACCGGATCTGCGCCCATTCCTCCATGTCACCAAGACTTTTCATTCCTGGGTTTGCTGGAAGTGCTGGGTAAAAGCCTGTGCAGTCTGCGAGTATGTCTCTGTGCCCTTGTGTATGTTGAGGGAGGAGGACTATCATCCAGAATTGAAGGCCGGGGAGGTGGCTGCTTTATGTCCCTTCTCATTAGGGGCTTTACCGCCTTTTGTTTCCAGTTTCTTTCAGCTTTGTCCTGAAGCAGATTATGGCCAGATTCACCTATTGTTTGCAGCCTAGCCCAGAAGCTTTGGAATCTGGCATCCAGCCTCTGCAAGACATGCTCCATGGTATTGCGGTGGGTAGAGGGGGGCAAGCCATGTGCCATTGGGGCCTGAGTAAGTGCGTTGGCCATCTTGGGTTGCCGTTCTCAGTCTAATAATGGCTGAAAACTGCAGGGATGTCCTGCAAAGGTAATCTGTAGCTCACCAGTGGAGATCGGGATAACCCCCCGCCGGTCCAAAGGGCATGGTAGGAGGTTGTAAGACTGCATGACCAGTGCGTAAGTGAGAGGAGCGGCCGTCTCGCCCCAAATCCACGTTAGGTAGGCCGTGGCACAGCGCGCTGGGCTGCCGGCAGTAACTGGCTCGAGTGGGATGTCAATCGAATCACTGAAGCACCCACGATGTGGGCAGTGTACCGAGGGGAGTTTTGAGGCTTAATTGCCAGTGATTTCACCTCTGTTTTGGAGATTTAGACAGGAGCTAACGCCGCACCTGTCCGACCAGCTCAAGGTTCAGGCTCTGCCCCTGAAGGCATTTTTTGAGCATGACTGTGCCCCTGAGCACAAAGAATGAGATTTGCTATATAGCTGAAGGATTTAATTTAGACTTTGCATTCTGTCTGTGTTAATTTTTGCCAATTCAGCTAAAAGAGCACTTATGAGGTCAGGCACTTAATGAGAACACCTGGCTTGCAGTCAGGATTTTAGTTCATCCCAGAAGTCAGAGCACCATGTAGGCCATTCCAGGTCAAACTTGTTAAAACCCTAGCCTATGTTTTACTCCCACTGGTCTAGCCTATATATTGTGTTGTCAAAGCCACATCTGATACCACTAGAAGCTGTCGGGATCCCGCGGGCGGCTGCGAGGGGAGGCTGCACTCCGCTCGCGGTACTCACCCTCCAGCCGTCCACGATCCCCTCCTTCTCGTGGGCTCGGCGAGCGGCATCCTTCCAGCCTTGGATGCCGCCCGCCGTTTCCTCCACGTCCCCCAGCGTGCAGCGTCATGTAGACCGCCCAAATTATTACACGCCGGGGTCAGTCACCTGACCCGGCGTTAAAGGCACTGTGCCTCAATCACAGTGGGAGGTTTAGATATCTCCCACGTGTGATTGTTAATTCTGATTGGAAATTATCCAATCAGAATTAACCTTATGGTTTAAATACTTACCTTTCCTGTTCCTCCCTGCCCTGTTGTGGTCTTTGCTTACTAATATTGCTACTTACCTTGTGTTTCTGGTTACGTACTCTCTGGCTTGTTTATCTGACTCTGTGACTTTCTCCTACCCTTTGACCTCTGCTTGTTTCACGTTATTCTGTCTTCTGGTTCCCCTTACTCGGCTTGTCTCTTGACTATTCTGTGTGTGCTTAGCCCGGCCACTCTAAGGTCCGGTACTGCACCTTTTCTGTGTGTGTGTGTGTGTGTGTATGTGTGTGTGTGTTAGCGTGTTGGGTTCCCGGAATCGTGACATTACAACAGGGCCATAATGGAACCTGCTGACATACCACAGCTCCTAGTTAATCAAGAGTTTGCTCAAGCTTTGCAAACCATACTGGCTCATACTGCACACTTTCAACCTGCCGTTCAGGAGGCTGCTGCTGCTGTGCCCGAACCCTTTCCCACTCCAGTACCCGTTCCCGCTCATGTAGTTCACATGACGCCACCACAGCGGTGACCCAGCATTGTGTCGTGGTTTCCTCAACCAAATCGACATCCATTTGGTAATGAATCCACGTTCCTATCCCACTGACAGATCTAAAATTGCCTTTTTGATAAACCACTTGTCCGGGAGAGCTTTAGCATGGGCCAACCCCATTTGGGAAAATAGGTCTCCTATGTCCTTTGCAGATTTTCTGACAGCTTTCAGACGCACATTTGATCAACCCGGTAGGGTTGCTTCTGCTGGCAAGGATCTGTAGCGGATTACACTATCGAATTCCGCACTCTAGCAGCTGAAGTGGTTTGGAATAATGACGCCCTCGTAACAGCCTTTCAGGAGGGTTTGGCCGCTTATATACTGGATGAAATTGCATCCAGGGAATTGCCTGCTCTTCTAGATGATGTTATAGATTATGTGATTCTTATCGATAACCATATTAGAGAGAGGCGTAGTCAAAGACGGTTGGATACACGGGTGTTACCTGCTCTACCCAGTACTGCACTGCTAGCGTTACCCGCTCCTAGGCAACCATCCCCTGAACCCATGCAGTTGGGTGCTACGGGGTTAACTGAGGCCGAAAGAGCGTACCGTAGGAGTGTGGGAAGAGGGGGCACCACTGTAAAGCCTGCCCTAAAGTACAGGGAAACTGCAGCACCTAAGGCCTAGAGAGGGGTCGGCCTCGGGTGTTATGACTTTGTCCCCTCATGTGTCCATCTCCAGACCGTTTATTACGGTTTCTCTTTTGGTCAATAAAACCACTATAACAACCAAAGCCCTGATCGATTCGGGTGCGGCAGACAACCTTATGGATGAGACCTTTGCCAAAACCGCAGCCCTGAATTTGATCCAAAAGGATACACCCTTGGCCGTTGAGGCCATAGATGGTAGACCACTGGAGAAACCTCTGGTGACCCATGAAACCCAGGAAATAGTTATGTCTGTGGGTGTTTTGCACAAGGAGAAGTTAACCTTCCAAATAACTGACTCCCCTACAGCCTCCATCATTCTGGGTTTTCCCTGGTTAGTTAAACACAACCCTGTTCTTGATTGGGGTTGTTTAGATATACTCTCCTGGGGGGAATCTTGTCAACGAGACTGTACGGCTCATGTATGTCCTGTTTGTTTACTTAACGTGCCCACAGCTAAACCACTCTCGGTTTCTGTCCCTTCTGTTTATGCAGACCTTGCCTTGGTTTTTGAAAAGAGGGAGACAGATAAGCTACCTCCACATCGTGAGTATGATTGTGCCATAAACCTCTTACCGGGTACTATGCCTCCTAGGGGAAAGGTCTACCCTCTTTCTGAGAAAGAAAACCAGATCATGGAGGAGTACATACGGGAATCCCTAAGTAAAGGTTTTATTAGAAGGTCCTCCTCTCCTGCTGGTGCTGGTTTCTTCTTTGTGGCAAAGAAGGAGGGCGATTTGAGGCCATGTATAGACTACAGGGGTCTGAACAATATAACGGTTAAAAACGCCTACCTTATCCCCCTCATCACTGAGTTGTTTGATCGTGTTAAAGGTTCTAAATTCTTCACCAAATTAGACCTCAGGGGAGCTTATAACCTTGTCCGTATAAAGGAGAATGATGAGTGGAAGACAGCGTTCAACACACGCAGTGGGCATTACGAGTATCTGGTCATGCCTTTTGGACTGTGTAATGCTCCTGCCGTGTTTCAGGACCTCATAAATGATGTCCTTAGGGATCTATTGCATGTCTGTGCTGTGGTGTACCTTGACGACATACTTGTGTATTCTCCTGATTTGAAGTCACACCATAACGATGTTAGGATGGTGCTCAAAAGGCTATTACAGAACGGACTCTACTGTAAGTTAGAAAAATCTTTATTCGATCAGACCTCTGTGCAATTCCTAGGATATATCATTACTGAACAGTGTTTCAGTATGGATCCTGCTAAATTGGAAGCTATACTGTCCTGGCCACTTCCCCAAGGACTGAAGGCTATCCAGCGTTTTATAGGATTTGCCAACTATTATAGGAAACTTATAAAAAACTTTTCACCACTCTATCTCCTATAACGAAGCAGAGAAAAAAAGGACCCTAGGGTTTGGACTCCTGAAGCCCTTAAGGCCTTCGAAACCCTCAAGAAGGCATTTGCCTCTGCTCCAGTGCTGCACCGCCCTGATCCTTCTCTTCCCTTTGTTATGGAAGTAGATGCTTCAGAGTCGGGTGTGGGAGCAGTACTGTCACAGAGGTTGTCGTATGACAAACCCCTCCATCCCTGTTATTTTTCTAAAAGGTTGTCCGATTCAGAGAAGAATTACGATGTTAGGAACAGGGAACTATTAGCTATTGTGTTAGCTTTTAAGGAATGGAGGTACTTATTAGAGGGTTCTAGACACAACATTATGGTTATAACAGATCATAAGAACCTCTCCTATATAGCTGATGCTAGAAGGTTATCTGCCCGGCAGGCTAGATGGTCTCTATTTCTCTCACGCTTCCAATATGTTATTACCTATAGACCTGGTTACCGTAATGCCAAAGCTGACGCTATCTCTCGACAGCATGAACCAGTAGAATTTGTTAACCTGACTCCTGAACCTATTGTACCTGCGTCTCAGATAATAGCTGCTACCCGTTTGGTTGTTTCTTCACCTTTCCTTGATAGTATTAAGACATACCAAACCCAAGCACCCCCTGAGACGCCGGTTGGTAAACTATACGTTGAAGCAAATGACAGAAAAAAGTTGTTAACTTTATTTCACACCGCCAAAACTGCTGGTCATCCGGGGGTTACCAAAACCTACAAGGGCCTCCTTCAACAGTTCTGGTGGCCTTCACTCAAGCGAGACGTAGCAGATTTTGTTCAGGCTTGTCGGGTCTGCACGCAGTGTAAGTCCCTTAATGTGAGACCCCAGGGTTTACTGATGCCTCTATCTATACCCAAGAAACCATTGACCCACTTATCCATGGATTTCATTGTAGACCTTCCTCTTTCTGATGGTCAGACGGTGATACTGACTTTGACGGATAGGTTCTCTAAAATGGCGCACTTTATTCCGCTTAAGAAACTGCCTTCTGCGGTTCAGTTAGCTCAGGTGTTTGCCAAAGAAGTGTTCCGCTTGCATGGGGTACCTCAGGATATCGTATCTGACAGGGGTCCTCAATTTGTCTCTCGGTTTTGGAGGAGCTTTTGTGCTGAGATGGGGTCTCCTTGTCATTCTCTTCCTCATATCACCCGCAATCTAATGGTGCGGCCGAACGTGCTAATCAGTCTGTGGAATTGTATTTACGCTGCTTCACTAATGCGCACCAGGATGACTGGTCTCGCCTTCTTCCGTGGGCTGAATTTGCAAGGAATACGGTGTCTCATTCGTCTACTGGCTTAAGTCCTTTTGAGGTTGCTTATGGGTTTCGACCTTCTGTCCTTCCCGGTGCGTTCTCCGACAATGGAATGCCCGCCTTGGACCAGCACCTCGCCTCTTTGCGGAAGACGTGGGATCAGGTCCATGTTGCGCTGTCTCGTTCAGCAGCTGCTCAGAAAAAGTTTGCTGATCACCGTAGGGTTGCGGCCCCTTCTTATGTTCCGGGTTATAGGGTATGGTTGTCCTCCAGGAACCTCCGTCTCAAGGTTCCCTCGATGAAATTTGCTCCCAGGTTTCTTGGTCCCTACAGGGTGTTACGTAGGGTTAACCCCGTTTCCTACTCCCTTGACCTGCCTCCTTCCATGCGTATCCCGAACACGTTTCAAGTCTCGCTTTTGAAGCCCTTGCTGTGTAACCGGTTCTCTCGTCCCCTCGGGCGGCCCGTTTCCCCTCGCGCTGTCTCTAGCGACATGTACGAGGTGGCTGCCCTTCTCGACTCTCGTGTTTCTAGGGGTCGGCTGCAATATTTGGTGGATTGGAAGGGGTACGGCCCTGAGGAGCGGTCTTGGGTTTCGAGCTCTGATATGCACGCTCCCTCTTTGGTCCGCTCCTTTCATGCCCGGTTTCCTTTGAAGCCTTCTGCTTCCCGCCCTCCGGGCGGTCTTCGAGGGGGGGGTAATGTCGGGATCCCGCAGGCGGCTGCGAGGGGAGGCTGCACTCCGCTCGCGGTACTCACCCTCCAGCCGTCCGGGGTCCCCTCCTCCTCGTGGGCTCGGCAAGCGGCATCCTTCCAGCCTCGGATGCCGCCCGCCATTTCCTCCACGTCCCCCAGCGGCAGCATACATGACGCTGCATGCTGGGAG